GATGCTCAGCTGCACGATGCCTGTGACGTGGCTGCCACCGCGCCCCGCACCGCGCCCCGCGATGCCTAACTTCACGCACCGCGCCCCGCGATGCGCGACGCGCGGCTCTCTTCGCGCCCTCGCGCCGCCGCCCTGGAGAAGGGCGCCTCTCCACCCCAGGCCGCGAGGCCGCGATGCGCGAGGCGCGAACTCCCTGCGCGCCCCGGGGGGACGCCGCCGCGCGTGTGGCAGCGCCAGCGCGCCATGCGAGCGCGGGAGGCCCGCGACGCTCGGCCAGTGGAGGGGCCCGGGGCACGAGCTGAGCACCCGCGACCACCGACACCACCGGGGCCACCACCGATCGGCAGACCCCGGCGGGCGGGCGGGCAAGGTGCGTCGGGGCCGGCGTCCCCGAGGCAGCCCCCAGGCGGCAGGGCGCGAGCCCAAGCAGTGTTTCCGTTCCCGCGGTTTCCGGAGGCGCGGATCGACGCCAGAGAGACGAGCGCGTCCCACTACTCGCAGAGGAGCTGCTCGCAAATGGCCTGGATCCGCCACGGGGGAGTTACGATACACTGCATCGATGCAGACACGTGCTTTTGATGTCGGACGTTTGCGAGCAGGCACTTTGCGAGTGGTGGAGCGCGCTCAGTGACGAAAGACGGAACTGCACGGGCATACAAGGGTCCCACGATTTGCTGCCGAGGTCCACGCGGCTCCCATGATTTGCGGCCGAAGCCTCGTGATTCCCCACTGCCCTTGCTGTGCGGACGCGGGCGGATGTCGAGCTCTGGCTGCCTCTCGAGCCTCAAGCGCAGAGCGCGCCGAGGGTGGGCCCGGGACCGAGCGAGGAGCAACCGAGGCCACGAAGGCCGCGCGGGGACTGCGGGCTGGCAAGCTCACTGGCAGACGTGCGAAGAAAAGCTCGGAGGGGAGGCCCCGAGAGGCCCCCGGGAGAGCCCTGAGGCCCCCCGGAGGCCCCACGAGGCCCCCAAGAAGCCCAAAAGGAGACCCCAGGAGGCCCTCAAACGGCCCCCGAGAGGCCACGAAGGCGCAGGCAAACGCCTGCGGTGGCACAACACGGGCCGGCAGATTGAGCGAAGCGACGAATAAAAGCTCGGATTCTCAAACGCACATCATCCTCGTCTTCCACACTACCCTTCTCACGGCGACCTGCCAGGAAATGGTTTCTAGAGAGGGGTTCACCGTGAAACGGCATGAGTTCGCACAAGTACTGAGCACCTCTCAGACTATCCCTATTCCTACTGGCGTGGCCTTGGCCCCACTGGCGGACTTAACCACCCAGATGGGAATATATGATCCTGCGTCGAGGGTTCACAGGCCCCACCCCCCAGATGGGATGGGGCCCAGCGTTCCACAGCCTCCCTCCCAGGTGGGATGAGGGAGGGGACGACGATGATGGTGACGACGGCAACGACGACGACGACGACGACGACGACGACGACGACGACGACGACGACGACGACGACGACGACGGCGGCGACGACGACGACGAAGACGACGACGAACCACCCTACCTACACCCAGCAGGGGGAGGGGTGGGCACCGTCACCCACCACCACGCCAAGCCCCCCACAGGGCCACGACCAAGGGGGGGGGGGGGGGCGATCCAGTTCGCGAGGCCTTGGCGAGGCTCAGGGGCGTACCCATACAGCGAGGGAGGGGGGGGGCGATCCCATTTGCATTGGGGGAGAGGGGGCTTTAGTCCTGGATCATGTATGCCTCTTCCTTCTGGCTTCGCGGGGCCGATCCACACCTAGGAGGGTGGGCGAATGGGGCTGAGATACCATGGCCTAGCTAGGATGGGGGTGGGCGATGCTGAAGTAGGTTCGTCCTACCAATCTTGGCGCGTCTGTCCTGCTGCCACTGGCAGTCTTCCCAGAGAGGCCGCCGACCTGAGCAGGGTTGTCCTTCTTCAAGTCCTCGAAGGATATCCACAGGACGTTGTCCGGGTATGTCTCCTTGAAGCAACTCTTTTCCCCACTGGCGATAATGGGCACTTCCAAAGGGGGTGGAGGGGGCCGCTAACGTCACGATTCGCGCCGGCACCGTCTTGGAATGCCTGAGGGTGGCTGAGTCCCAGACGAGGCCAATGCGAATCGTGACGTTACCCTGGCCTGGGGGGGAGAGGGGCGAATGGAAGACAGGGCTCCTTCACCTTCCACCACTCTGCGTGCCACTTCCAGAAGCAGCCGAGCCGCTGCCCTCCACGAGCCTTGAAGGCAGTGGTGAAAAGCTCTACCCAATCGGACAACGGCCCGATGAATCGGACCGCCCCCCTTCGGAGGGCGCCAGGCGTAGGGCGGCGTCAATCATTTTGCGTGTGCCCGCCCGCGTCAGGTATGCGCTGTGCGTGCCCCGCTCGAAACGGAGAACCCCTGGCATCAGAGCAGGCCGACAAGCGTCATTCCAGTTTGGCCCACATGGAGAGATTGGGATGGGGGGAATGGAGACAGGGAGGGTGGAGAGGGCCACCTATCCAACCCATCTGGCCAGTGTTGTATGCAAGACGTTGCCCTTGACCCGCAATGAATATGCCCACCCTCCTCCACCTCCTCCTCCTCCTCCTGCTCATCCTCCTCGTCGTCCTCACCCTCCTCCTCATCATCATCGCCATCATCGTCCCTCCCCATCAAACTCATTGTCATACGTGATATTACTGCGATACGAACATCACTAGTATCGATGGAATGGTTTTAAATCATTGTCCGAGTCCACGATGCCGCCGAAACACGCGAGCACACGTGAGTGAACAACAATTGAGGCATAATTGAATTGACCACGTTTCATTGCGAAAACTACTCCGTCACCCGGTCGTCGAGGGGTCGTCGACAAGATATTATCGGCTCGTCTGGGGGGGGCTACTTCTTGTTCTTGGCCATGCCGCGTCCCTGAGAGAGTGGGCGCGGGCGGGAGGGGCGCCTAAAGCAACGCCCGCCCGCCCACCCCCACCCCAAGTGCCCTCTGCACCACTGTGACCCTCGCGCGCACCGCAGCCTTGCGGCAAGTTGCGGTCGTAACGCACGTGCGCACCACAGTAATATGCCTGCGAATGTCGCGGTGTTCCTTGGAGATCATGATGTGCCTGATGTGCCTACGAGCACCGCAACATGCCTGCGACCACGAAAGTATGCCTGCCAGCACCGCAGAGTGCCTGCGAGAACCACAGTGTGCGCAACAGTAAGCCGGACCCTGCTATTTCGGCAAAGGTAAGCATACAAGCATCGCAACCTGCGAGTACATACCACAATGCCTGCGAGCGTCACAAGAGCGCCACACATATGCGCAACATCATGCCAGACCCTGCGGGTACCACAAATGCATGCGAACACACAGTAAGCGACTCAGTAACCTGCGATCACCAGAGCGTGCCTGTGAGAGCTGCAGTGTGTTTGCGAGCGGCGTCTAGATGGCGATGGAAACTGGGCCTTGATAATTCCCAAAATAGAAACAAAAACACCATGGTGTTCCCACCAGTATGCCAGAACTTACCATCGCCACAGAGTGTGTATGATGACCAGAAGAAGAGGGAAGTCAGACCATGCGACATCCACAATAGCCTGCGACCTCGATAATCTCCGAAGGAGGATGCCGCACTCAGTCATTGCCACAATAGCCTGCGTGTACCACACACTGTGAGCACCACAAATGTTGCGGAGCGCAGCAACGGCACCACAAATATGCACAGCAACGCGCGGGACCCTCCAAATACCAGTGTGCCTGCGGGAACAACAGCACGCCTGCGAGCACCAACAATTGACTGTGAATATCTCCAGTATCTGCGAACGCCCGAATACATGCCAAAGGGACGGAAAGAAACCAGGACCTGCCACTACCACAATCGCCGGTGAGCACCATACCATGTAAAACAATATGCCAGACCCTGAGAGTACCATACTCCTTGCCTGCGAGTACATCGATGCCTGCGAGAACCACCAAAACAATCCTGCGAACACCATCACGATACTGCGAGCAGCACATTGGTCTGCGACCGCCAACCAATGCCCCTCAGCACCGCAGGGCACTTATGCACAGCACAGCGTGCCTGCGGGCACAGCATTCGCCTGCTAACGCCACGATGTGACTGTGACCGCCGCAGTGCGCGCGCGAGCGCATCAACACGCCTGCGAGCACCAGAGTATCCCTGTGAGCACCACCGGTGCGCCTGCACGAACTGCGCTATACACCATGTGCCTGCGAGCGCCACATCAAGCATGTGAGTACCACAGGGCGCCTCCGCGCACCACACTGTAGAACTCCGAACACAACACTACGAATCCTACAAGCACAACAGCATGCTTGAGCACGGCAGTACGCTTGAGACCGCCAGACTGCGGCCAGCCACGAAACTGTACATGTGCACGCGTCCGCTGCTGCGGTGCCTTGGGCGCACAGCGGGCGGCGGAAGGGGTGGGGCGTAGCGCGATGGGGGTGGTCGCATAACGCGCATGAGGGCCCAAGCCTTACAACGCGAGGGACTCACAAACCCAGCAAGATGTACAGGTCAGCTGTCAGTTTGACGTGTCTTACAGATTCGCGCTGTCACACCTTTGTACAACGTTCCAATGTCACGTCGTACTGCCTGTTGCACGTTTCCTGCTCGTTCCCGTCCCCATTATACTGCTCCTGTTCCTTATCATCCTGTGCCCTGCTCGTGCTCCTCCTCCTCCTCCTCCTCCTCCTCCTCCTCCTCCTCCTCCTCCTCCTCCTCCCTCCTCCCTCCTCCTCCTCCTCCTCCCTCCTCCCTCCTCCTCCTCCCCTCCCTCCTCCCTCCACTCCCTCCTCCTCCTCCCTCCTCCCTCCACCCCTCCTCCCTCCTCCCTCCTCCATCCTCCTCCTCCTCCTCCTCCTCCTCCTCCTCCTCCTCCTCCTCCTCCTCCTCCTCCTCCTGCCCCCCTCTCCCTCCTCCCTCATAATAGTTTTGCTCCCAGTCCATCCTCGCTCCTCCCTCCTCCAGGAAACCCGCAAAGGACGCACGCGCCCAACTACAGGAATGCGGCACCCCGGTCCCCGAGACCAGCCTCGCGATACGAAGGATCGCGCACTACGTGCTTTTCAAACCAGCGTGGATTCGTGTACGTGTACGTCCCTCTTTCGCTCCTCCCTTCTGCCTCCTCTCTCCCTCCTCCCTCCATGCCTATCCTGGGGAAACCAAAAAGGTACTGATACCGCTACTCCCCAGACCTCTCCTGGGGTACATTCTGCCCCGAATTTCGAGGCGAATCCAGCAGGAGCGACGAGGGCCTCCCCGGAAGCCCAAGAAGGGGGAACACGAGGGATGGGTAGCGGTATGGGCACCTTTTCGCCGTCTAGTCTCCCCTCCTTCTCTTAGCGGCGCGCACACAGGGGGTAGGAGGAGGGGGAAAGGATTCTCAGAAGCAGGCTGCTTCTTAGCAGGCGCCGGCCTTACATCTAAGGCAAGGCCCGCACCAGCTAAAGACAGGGGTGCTTCTAAGAAGCCGTCCCCCTCTACCCCTAGGTCGGGCGTCTCCCCCTATAGGCGGATTTGGAAGACACATATATAAAAAATACTCCAAAATACTCAAAAATCGCCGACCCTGTCGGCGTGTGGAAGATGCTTTTCCGTTCGTCGTGAACGTCGTCGTCGTCGTTGTCGTCGTCGTCGTCGCCGCCGTCGTCGTCGTCGTCGTCGTCGCCGTCGTCGTCGTCGTCGTCGATGCTCTTCCGTTCGTCGTCGTCGTCGTCGTCGCCCTCCCCTCAAGCGCGCCAGCCAAAGCGAAACCAAAGCGAAATCGAGCAACGTCGTAGGTAGCTGAGTCGAAGGCAAAGCGAAATTGAGCAACGTCGTAGCTGAGTCGAAGGGAAGCCCCTTCCCTTTGATCCCTTCCCCGCCGGGGGGGGGAGGGGTGGGTCCCGGGGGCGGGTCCCGGGGGGGGGGAGCACATACGCATCCCCCCCGGGATGTCCCGGGACCTAGAAAAGCCCCAAGACTGGCCAAGAGTGCCCCAAGAGGCTTCCAAGACGGCTCCAGAGGGCCCCGAATCGCCGAACCATCGGTCGAAGACGCCAAAGTAGCCTCCAGACGGCCCAAGAGATTGCCAAGACGCTCCGAGAAGTCTCCAAGAGCACTCCCAAGAGGGCACGAAGAGGGAAAAATCAATGATTTCCTTAAAGGTTTTTACAGATTTTGGCGTTCTCGCCGTTTCAACTTGCCGACGCTCCAAGACGGCCCCAGATGCCCCCAAGATTGCCCCAAGATAGCCCAAGAGGCCTCAAGAGAGCCCCAAAATGACCCAAGAGAGCCTCAAGACCTCTCAAGATGCCTCCAAAATGGCCCCAGAGGCTCCCCAAACGGCTCCAACAGGGTGCCCAGACGGTGGGCCCGACGAGCCCTGGGCGACAGAGGCTCCCAGGAAGCCCCAACATGCCCCCAAGAGGCCACCACGAGACCCCCAAGAGGCCCTCAGGAAGCCCCAAAAGTCCCACAGGAGCTTCGCGTGCTCATCCGGCATGAGCTGAGGCTCGGTTGGCTCACCCTTTAACCGCAACGTGGCTACTGAAAAGCGCGGGGCAAGGTAGCTGCCCCCGGAGTGCCGAGCCCAAGAACACTCCAAAGTAACCCCAAAGGCTCCCAAGACCCCCCCCCAATACGGTCGAAAAGATCCACGAGAAAGCCCCAAACTGGCCCAAGAAGGCCCCGAGAGAGTCCCCGAGAGTGCCCCAGAGAGTCCCCGAGAGACCCTTGAGAATAGCTCCAGATCGCCACCGCCGTCAACGTCGTCGTCGTCGGCCAAAGACGCTCCCGAGAAAGCCTCACGATTGCCAACAACGGCCCCAACACGACCCCCCCCCACACGAGACCCAAAGATACCCCCAAGAGGCCCCCCCCGCCACATTAGAGAACGCATGGGTCGCCCTCCAGGGTCGGCGGCACCGGCCGTAAGGCCTTCGCAATACTCCAAAATACTCAAAAATCGTCCACATATCATAATTTGACTGTTTTTGAATATTCCTCCTGTAGCGGGACAGGCCCGACTTATCCCTACCCCCCTCTGCGCGTGGCCGATGCTGCTCGTCGCCCCTCCTCTCCCTGTGAGGTGGCGACGACGCGCGTGGCCCCGGCCGCTCCGCCGCGCCGCGCCGCGCGGCTGCCACTCCGCGCGGCGAGCCTCTCTTCCGCGCAGTCCTCCCTCGTCCTCGTGCTCCTTCTCGTCCTCCTCCCCCTCCTCGTCCTTCCTCCCTCCTTCCTCCTCCCTCCTTCCTGCTCCCTCCTCCTTCTCCTCCTCGTCGCCCTCCCTGACCTCGTCCCCGTCCCGTCGTCTGCCTCCTCCGTCCAGTCATCGTCCCCCCAGACCTACTCAGGCACGCTTCAATACTGTCCTAGAAGGTGGCTCGAAACTTCTGCAAGAGCCTCATCTGGACGGGAGTATCGAAGATCAGAGAGTGGGGGATATGTAGACAGAGAGAGAGGGCGAAGATGCAGAACATAAGATTAACAGAAAGACGACACCCGAAACTTTGGTTAACCTTACCACCATCTACGAAACAAGACGACGGACACCTGGTGCTAACTAGTCTGGACCAGAAAAAGAGAAACACGGATGGATGCCGGAGGCTCTCGAATGTAGGGGGCGAGTTATCATGTTCTTGCCTGTATAAAGAGATCATAGCATCCTTCGGATTTCGTGTAACGACTATGCACTTGCAATGCGCAATCTCCTTGATGCCTCCTTCCCAAAGCACCGAGTCTGGCATCTTGTGGGTCTTGTAGACACTCGGCGTTGGCCTTGATCCAAACCAAGAGGAGCCGTCCCACGCGATCAGCTCTCTAAGCATCTTCTCCTCCTCAGGATCTTTACCCTTGCCTTTCTTGTCTTTGCCTTTTTTGTCCTTTCCCTTTTTGTCCTTGTCCTTGCCCTTCCCGTCCTTGTCTTTATCCTTGTCCTTGCCTTTGCCTTTGTCCTTGTCCTTGTCTTTGTCTTTGCCCTTCCCGTGGCCGTCTTTCTCCAGCATGGAATCATCCCAGAGGTCGCTGCCTTTCCCTTTGCCCATGTGGACTGGGTTGAGCTCCCAATCCGCGAGCCCTACCTGATTGCCAGGCATTACATGGCGGGCCATGCCGAGGTATCGAATGGACCGAGATCGATTAGCTCACCTCTTCGATCCGAGGGCCCAGTAAAGTCGCAGCCCCGTTCCCCTCGGGAAGCTCTTCCAGAGAAGCAAAGAACTGCAAAAACATAAACTTTCGGAGGTTCGCGCGGATGTCCTGGATCGTCGCTGGACCACCCTCCCTGCCGCGCGGAGCGCGCCAGGGGCGGCGCCAGAGGCGCCGCCAGGAGGTCCAGCGCAGATCCAAGAAATCTGCGCGGACCTCCAAAAGATTATGTTTGTACAGTTTCTCTTCTACGGCCTCTTCGTCCCCGAGCCATGTTTGATGGTCTCTGGGCCCCGAAAAAGGCCCCCAGAGGCATTGGAGACCCCATTCGCCCGAAGTCTTGGGAAAGGAAGACCGAGCGAAATTGCCGTCGCCAGTCAGGGCCCCCGAGACATTGGAGACCAAATTCGCCCGAAGGCTTGGGAACGAAAGATCGAGCGAAGCCGCCGTCGCAAGTAAGGGCCGGCGTCCCTGCAAGGGGGGCAGGAGCACCGGTAGCGCGCTGGCCTTCTACGAGAGGACTAGAAGCAGCGCACGTGCGGAGTCAGAGGAGACAGGGTTAAGAGGCACAGCTGGGAGGTCTTCGTCGGAAAGATCTAACGGGGATGAAGCCCCCTTGGGGAGCAGCTACGCCGGATTAGGCCGCGGATTGAGCGGGATTAAGCCGGATTGAGCGGGATGAAGCCGGATTAGGCGGGATCAAGCTGGAGTAAGCCAGATTTCGGACCAGGGCACAGTCAGAATTCGACCCCCCAGGAAATGCATCCGTAACAGGGGAGGCAAGAGGGAGGAAGACGAATCAAGCATGTGGAGAAATGGTGGTGCGGCCCACGTTCGGGCTGTACTTGTGAGCGTTTTTTGACTTGGCGTTTCGACATTGGGCGGAAACGGGGGGGGGGAGGGGGGGGGTCTGGCTCCAGACCTCTGCTTCGCGCGACTGCTTGCAAGAGTGCTGCCTCTGGGGGAGACGCCACCCGCTCGAAACGGGCGCCCAGAACAGCCAAGGTCTACTCCATGGGGGGGGGGAGGGGGGGGGGCCCGCGCCGATTGGCAAAACAAAGAACTAAAAAAAACGACGAGGGGAGGGGGGAGGGGGGGCCCGCGCCGATTGGCAAAACAATGAATTAAAAACAACGACGAGGGGGGGGGGGGGGGCGAGCGCGAGCGCGCCCTCAGCGGGTAGAGCCTGGCCCCAATCAGGGGGAGGGCGACAGGCTGCGCACACAGGCGGGCGGACCCGCCGACTAGGCGGCTGACAGACAGACAAGTGAAAAAGATGCTGTGGCCCCGAGTACTCCGCCTGCAGTGGAGGCCAGTGCAGAAGAAACCCTCCACAAGAAACCCAATCCTGAGACCCCAGGGCGTCCTTCCATTTTTCGTGTGGGAACGTCGGGCTTTCCAGAGCAAAACCATCGAAACTCAAGAAACCCAGGGCACCCTGGAGGCAAGCAGGGTGCTTCTTGGCATTGGCATGGGCCCCCACTGTATCTGGTCCCGACTAGGGGTGGGGGAGACTTGGGAGGGGGAGGGAGCTTAGCCTCAGGTCGGGCATGCCTCTCTACGGGAGGAATGCTCAAGGATAGCCGAGCACTAGACGGACGACGATTTGTCGTGCTCTCTTGACTACTTTTGAGGGCGTTTCGCCTGTTTGTTTTCTGTCTTCCAAAACCCGCCTCTTCGGGGATGGACAGAACCCCCTTTAGCAAAACGTGGTTTCGTGAAAACGACCTCGGGCCCCAAACCTGGCAGGCGCGAGCCTGGAAAATGACGGCCGCGGCGCCCTCTCGAGAGCCGACAACGGACAATTCACTGATCGACGCGTCAGACCCCCGACGTGTGAGAGGACGTGCCCGACCTGAACCACGTGTGAGAGGACGTGCCCGACCTGAACCGACCTGTCAGACCACCTGTGAGACCGACCTGTGAACCGACGTGCCCGACCTCTGAGCCTGTGAGACCGACCTGTGAGAGGACGCGCCCGACCTGCGAACCGACGTGCCCGACCTGAACCGACCTGTGAGAGGACGTGCCCGAGCTGTCAGAAAACGGAGGCCTGTCCACCCCCGAGGAGGAGGGCCTCATGGGCCTCCCAGCTGGGGTCAGAGGGCCTCATGGGCCTCCCAGCTGGGGTCAGAGCCTCCTCCTCTTCCTCCTCGTCCTCGTCGTCCTCCTCCTCCTCCTCCTCCTCCTCCTCCTCCTCCTCCTCCTCCTCCTCCTCCTCCTCCTCCTCCTCCTCCTCCTCCTGCGGGAGGACGCGCCCCACCCGAACTCCGCCGGACCCGCCGCCGCGCATCGCCACTGGCCCCGACGGTGCCTCCCGCACGCCCCGGCGGCGGGCAGGGGCCACGAGAGCCGCCCGCTCGACGGGCGCACGGAGCGAGGGAGGGCTTCGAGGATCGAGGAGAGGACAGGGAGGAGGAGGAGGAGGGGGAGGAGGAAGAGGAGGAGGAGGAGGAGGAGGAGGAGGAGGAGGAGGAGGAGGAGGAGGAGGAGGAGGAGGAGGAGCATGGGAGGAGGAGGAGGAGGAGGAGGAGGAGGCGAGTGGGAGGGAGGAGGAGGAGGGAGGAGGAGGAGGAGGAGGAGGAGGAGGGTCCAGGAGCGAGGGTCGAGGAAGGAGCGAGGGGCGAGGATGGATCGAGGGAGGGTCGAGATGCGAGGGTCGAGGATCGAGGAGGTGTCCGGGAGCGAGGGTCGAGGAACGAGGAGGGTCCAGGAGCGAGGGTCTCAGGGCAGGCACGGAGGAAGGGTCGAGGAACCAACTCGTCTGACGATTCCAGGGGGGACAAAAAACGTCCTCCCTGGTCATAAGTTCTCGGAGGTCCGCGCGGGCCTCCGAGGAAATATGCTTATGCTGTTGCTGCTATTCGAGGTGCCCATTCCTTCTGTCTGTTGGGGAGCCTCCGAGGAAGCTCTCGGCGCCACGTCCAGATTCCCCCGAGAAGTATTGTCGAGGCGCACCGCAGCAAAAGCCCGAGATGGTCCTTATCCTCCTCCTCCTCCTCCTCCTCCTCCTCCCCTCCTCCTCCTCCTCCTCCTCCTCCTCCTCCTCCTCCTCCTCCTCCTCATAATCATCATCATCATCATCATCATCATCATCATCATCATCATCATCATCATCATCATCATCATCATCATCATCATCATCATCATCATCATCATCAGCAGCAGCAGCAGCATCAACAACATCAACCTCAACGTCGTCATCAGCATCAGCATAATCATCAGCATCTGCAGCATCATCATCACCACCACCGTCATCACCACCACCACCATCACCACCACCAACACCACCAGCAACAGCAGCATCATCATGATCATCATCAGCATCATCAGCATCATCAGCATCATCATCATCGTCATCATCATTATCATTATCAGTATCGTCATCATTATCAGCAGCATCATCATCATCGTCGTCATCATCATCAGCAGCAGCATCAGCATCATGAGCATTATCAGCAGTATCAGCAACACCATCATCATCATCATCATCATCATCATCATCATCATCATCATCAGCATCATCAGCAGCAGCAGCATCAGCATCAGCCGCATCGCCAGCAGCATTATCATCATCAGCATCATCAGCATCATCATCGCCATCATCGTCATCATCAGCAGCAACAGCATCAGCATCAGCATCCGCATCAACATCAGCATCAGCATCCTCATCGCCAACACCATCGCCATCACGTATACCATCAACATCACATCATCATTATCATCCTCATCATCACCATCACAGCCACCATTACCATCAACATCACTTCATCATTATCATCCTCATCAACACCATCACAGCCACCATTACCATCAACATCACTTTATCCCAATTGTCATCACCACCACCATCAGCATCACCATCACAATCCACAGTCACATGATCATCATCAGCATCATCATCCTCGGTATCATCATCATCAGCAGCATCAGCATCAGCATCATCATCAGCAGCAGCAGCATCGTCATCCTTATCCTCATCCTCACCATCACCCTCATCCTCATCATCATCAACAGCATCAGCAGCATCCTCATCATCGTCATCATCATCATCAGCATCAGCATCAGCATCATCATGATCATCGCCGTCGTCGTCATCGTCGTATTCGCTGTCTTCGTCGTCGTCCTTGTCCTGCTCCTGCTCCTCGTCCTCCCCCTCATCATCCTCATCCTCATCCCTGCCTGCCTCCCTGCCTGCCTCCCTCTCTCCCTCCCTTCCCTCCCTCCCTCCACCCCCCTCCATCCCCTCCCTCCCCCCCCCTTCCTCCCTCCCTCCCACCCTTCACCTCCTCCCCACGCTAACCCCGCACTTGCCCTCCCTCGCGCGCGCGCGGGGGAGGGGATCCCGAGCGCCCCCGCAGGGCCGAAGCTGTGCAACCGCCTGTCGACGATACCCAGGCTCTACCATTCAGAGGAACAAGAGGTCATGACAGTCACACGTTCCAGGGCTTCCAAGAAGTCCCATGTCTCCCAATGTTCCACACCGGCTGTGCAGCTCGATACCCCGGAAATCCTGGAACGTATCCTGAGCCAATCGCATCGTGGCATCATTCTCGCCCTGACCATGTGCACAACGATACTCAAGCCGACCAGGCCACCGCCGTACCACGGGCAACCACGTGCAACCACGTGCTGCGGGCTAAGCAGTAACCTCCCCAGATTGCAAAGTCGGTGGGCTTATCATCTGGGTCACCGAACTTCGCGCTGCGCGATGAGGGTGGCGCAATTCTGGTCGCGCCCTCGCGACGCCGCCCTGGAGAGGGATGGCTCTGCGGCACAGACCAGGAAGCGCGAAGCGCTATCTATCTCCGCGCCCGTGAGTGTGACCCAGATGATGAAGCCAACGCGCTTTCGCAATTCATGTTCCAACCGCGGTCGAACAACGAAGCCATTGCGGGCCTTTGAAAATCATGATCAGAATGTTTTGGGCGCCCACCGTTCTTGTCTCCCCAGGGGGGGGGACCACTTACCGACCTGATTTGGATCCGAGGCGGAGCAGGGCCAGCCTTGCGGATCGTCGAAGTGGCCACCGTCCTCCTTGTCCTTGCCCTTTCCCTTGGCCATGTCTTCCAGGAAGGGCGACTGGATGTCCATGTTCACGATCTTGGACGCGTCGCCCTTGTAGAGCAGGGTGAGCACTATGTACTGCATCCACGTCGTGCCGCACTGGAGAGTTCTGCTTTGCGGGGCAGGATGGGCCAGACATCGAAATTGTGAGATTACACGCGCAACCTGCTCCTAGAGCTACGTGCGCTCCCCCCGCACACCCACGCGTGCATCGCGCTGCCCAACGCCGAATCCCGCCAGCCCTTTACGGCGTGAGTGGTTTAGGAAGCTTCCTCTTACAACTCCCTTTCGTCCCCTTCGGGGAAGGGTTTACCCCTCCTCTACCCCCCACCCCTGGACCTCGACGGGGGGAGGGGGCGCAAGTAGTTAGAGCGCCCAAGATGGCCTTGACGAGGAAGCCAATCTCATTGATGTTACAACGGTTCTGGCCACATGTTGGCCTCCTGGAGGGGGACCCTGACCTAATTTACTGCGGCCCCTCCTTTGATCGATCTCCTCCTCGATGGCCTTAAGATGGCCCCCGAGGCTCCCGAGGGTGCCCCAAGACGGCTCCAAGGGGGGCCCAGGAGGCCCCAGGAGGCATGCCACTAAGAGGCTCCGAAGAGATCGCCCAGGGGCACCCAAGACGTCCCAAGAGGCCCCGGGGACTGCCAAGAGACCCCGAAGACGCCGCCCGCCCCAACAAGACTCAAAGGAGCTCTCGAGAGACATCCGAAGAGACTCCGAGGGGCATCCAATTGGCATCTGGCCTTTCTGCTCGCCCCCCTCCTCCTCCCACTCCTCCTCCATGTCCTCCTCCTCCTCCTTCTCCTCTTTCTCCTCCTCCTTCTCCTCCACCTCCTCCTATTCCTCCTCGTCCTCCTCCTCGACCTCCTCCTCCTCCTCCTCCTCCTCATCCTCCTCCGTCTCCGTCTCCGTCTCCTCGTCTCCGTCTCCGTCTCCGTCTCCGTCCTCCTCCTCCTCCTCCTCCTCCTCCTCCTCCTCCTCCTCCTCCTCCTCCTCCTCCTCCGCCTGCTCTTCCTCCAGTTCCTCTTCCATCCTCCCCATCTTGGAGTATGACGTCTTACCCAGCTGCATGCTCCTCAACATCCCTGATCAGGGCCACTCGTCTGGGCATCGTTTCTGGATGAGCCAGTGGGGTTACGCGGCGAAGCGTCTAGAATTTCTCGAGCAGCGCATGGGCTCGAAACGGAGCGACCAGCCGGGAGTTGGCGGCTGACGTTATCCACCTCTTCATAATATTCCCCACCGCTATCCTCTTCACAATATTCCCCATACCATTACGGTCAACCGTACACTCACATCAAAATGGGCACTGCGACTCACACAATGCCAGTACAACTAGCCGCAATTTCGTACGTAAGCAACTCCCTCATGATGAAGAAAACCGATGAATGCAATTCGTCGTGCCGACTTAGGCGAGGCGACAAATCCAGCAATACAATCCACATGAATCGCAAAAGGCCGCCAATCATCCGCTAACGTGGGGAAAAATGACGGAACGAATCGGTGAATGGCACTGCAGAGGTGTGGAATGGTGGCCATGAGCGCAGGCGCAACGCGGGGGGGGCGGTGATGTCTCCTTCTTCTATGCTTCCGTGAACGGGAGCGCCAAGACACAACAGCAAACCGGCGCACCGCCGTCACCCGCCGCCGATTCACTGCCAATTGCTGACCCCTTAACAAAGTGGATGGCCGCCGCTGATAACTGCGCGCCGTCCTTCGGAAAAGTGGTGATGACGATCTCGCCGTCTCGGAGGAAAAAGCCCTCGTCTTCGGGCGGCGGCTCCCAGCCTCCGTTCGACACTGCGCCATCCTCGCGAAGCCAGCGTCGGGCCACCCTTCTTTCTAGTCCGCCTCGTCATTATCATCTTTCCCATTCTCCTGATCCCCCTCCGAGAAGGTGATGGTCTCCCGCCAAGTCTATATCAAATCGTTCCTGTCACGCACATGGCCTGCCACATTGACTGCGAAAGGAAAAAAAAACATTTCGACCTCATCGTAATCCCCCCGTCAGTCTGCGTGCAGAAGGGGCCCAGCCCACAGGAACGGAGAGAATCAAAGCAGAAGCAGCGCGTCGCAACGTGTCCTTGTTCCGGCGACCACATGCGTTTCCCATACCCCACCTTGGGGAGGGCGCCGATGGCAGAGCAACTAAACGGTTAACTGACGGCGATCGTATCCAGGAGCAAACACCTCTCGGGCCTTCATCCCAGATCGGCAGCAGGACTGCATCTTGCCCGAAGCCTCAAACTGACAGATCTGACCGACAAACCTGGCCGGTCAGCGCAGAGCGGCGGTCGAGCACAGTAGAACTCTGGTCGCGACTGCCTCCTCGAGTCCTCTGGAGTAGACTGGAAGGGCGGCAGACCCAAGCGGGAACCTGCAAAGATTCGCCCGAGCAGCAGCAGCGGCGTGCATGTGTGCACCCGGGCATAAGACGTGAGCCTTCTGCACACACACACACACACACAGACGCGCGTGCGTGTGTGTGGCTTTTCTGCCCAGAATGCATGCGCACTGGAGTCGGGCCCAGGGGCCTGGCTTCGAGCCGCCGACTCGGGATAATCGTGAACTTATGAACTTTCCAGCGGCGGGTGCTCTGGCGGCGGGTGCTCGGCCAGACATGTAGAGAGATACACTATACATATACACCCTGAGAGAGAGATAGAAACGGAGTGCGAGACTGAATAAAAGGGGGAGGGAGAGAGAGAGAGAGAGAGAGAAAAAAAAAAAAATGAACAAAACAACAATGAAAATAGAACAAAATGTGTGTTGCTTTGCCTTGTAACAACAACGACTGCAGCAACAACAGCAACAACGACAACCGCAACGACAACCACAACGACAACCACAACGACAGCAACAACAACAACAACAACAACAACAACAACGACAACAACAACGGGAACAACAACAACGACAATAACAACAACAACAACAACGACAACAACAACAGCAACAACAACAACAACAACGGGAACAACAACAACAACAACAACAACAACAACAACAACAACAACAACACACAAACAAAAACAATACAACGAAAGAACCAGCAATAAATAACGAGACAAAAACACAACACAACAACAAACAAAAAAACAACAAACGAGAGAGAGCACGCCGATGCGGACCCACGGGCTTGGGCGCCGCGCGGCAAGCGGTGCGCGCGCCCCGTGCTCACGGCCGGCGCACGGCACTGCGGGGGCGGGGGACGCCGGGGAGGCCCTGGCCGCGCGGGACGCCGCGCGAGGGCTGGGCGGACGAGGGCTCCCCGAGCGCAGCAGGGGGCCGCCGGGGAGAGCCCAAGGAGCGGAGGCCGAGGGCGCGATGGCGCCGTGGCGGGACGGCCCCCCCCGGCCGAAGTGAACGAGGCCGCCCAGGGGCACACGAGCAAGGAGGCCCCCAAGAGGCCCCGAGGAGGCACCAGGACGGCCCGCAAGGGGCCTCAAAACTGCCTCCCAGAGGCCCCCGAGAGGCCTCCCACGAGATGCCCACGAGAGGCCTCCCACAAGACTGCCTCCAAGAGGCCCCCGAGGTGCCTCCCACGAGATGCCGAGGAACGTCCACCGGGCTTGTGACCCACAACCCGGGCACGGTGGCGGGCCTTGCCGCATAGGCAGCTGAAGCAGTTCTGTGGTCGATCTCCTGCTCGAAGGCCCGCCCCAGGGCGCGATCCGCCCAGAAGCTCGACGGCGGCTCTGGCCGCGGTAACCGGGAGCCTCACCGGGGGGGCCAGGGAGGAGAGCGGGTGACGAGACCCCCCAAAAAGAGACCTCGACCTTCGATGCTCGAGGCTCGGTGCTCGAGCTGGGAGCACGAAGCTCGATCCCCATCCTCCTCCGGGCGGCGCGGGACCTGGCGAGCCTGGCGGGCTCCTCGCCAGCTGCCGCGCCCCTCCCCCCCTTGTGCCCCTCAGCCGAAACGGCTCCACGGGCAGGGGGGCGGACAGAGGCACGGGGGAGGCGCAGGCCGAGGCTCATCATCATCATCATCATCATCATCATCATCATCATCATCATCATCATCATCATCATCATCATCATCATCATCATCATCATCATCATCATCATCATCATCATCATCATCATCATCATCATCATCATCATCATCATCATCATCATCATCATCATCATCATCATCCATCATCTCATCATCATCATCATCATCGTCGTCGTCGTCGTCGTCGTCGTCATCATCATCATCATCATCATCATCATCATCATCATCATCATCATCATCATCATCATCATCATCATCCTCATCATCCTCATCATCCTCATCATTATCATCATCATCATCAGCATCAGCATCATCAGCATCATCATCAGCAGCAGCAGCATCATCAGCAGCAGCATCATCATCACCATCATCAGCACCAGCATAATCATTATCACAGCAGCATCCTCATCAGCATCATCAGCATCATCATCAGCATCGTTATCATCGTGATCATCAGCATCATCAGCATCATCATGAACATCGTCGTCAGCACCGTCCTCGTCATTGACATCATCATCGTCGTCGTCATCATCAGCATCATCGTAAGCATCGTCGTCGTCATCGTCATCAGCATCATCAGCATCAGCATCAGCATCAGCATCAGAATCATTATCATGATCATCGTCATCATCAGCATCATCAGCATCATGAGCAGCATCATCATCATCATCATCGTCAGCAGCATCATCATCGACGTCCGTAGCAGCAGCAGCAGCATCAGCATCAGCATCAGCATCAGCATCAGCATCAGCATCATCATCATCATCATCATCATCATCACTTTCATCATCATCATCATCATCATCATCATCATCATCACAACCACCACCACAACAACCATCATCATCAGCAGCAGCATAATCAGAAGCAGCAGCATCAGCAGCAGCAGCATCATCAGCAGCAGCACTGTCAGCATCATCATCATCAACATCAGCATCAGCAGCATCATCATCAGCAGAAGCATAACCATCATCAGCATCAGTATCCTCATCAGCATTATCAGCATCAACATCAGCATCATCATCAGCATCATCATTGTCATCATCAGCACCAGCATCAGCATCTGCATCAGCATCATCATATTCAGAGTGTCAGACTCATCATCCGTTGTACGTTACGCTGCGCGGACTTACGCAATAGAGCTGGAGCATCCGTCTTCTCCTCCTCCCCCTCCTCCTCCTACTCGCCCTGCTCCTCCTCAGCTGCCGTCTCCTCATCTTCCTCCTCCTCCTACTCCTCCTCCTCAATGTGCTGTGGGCACGTTCCCTGTCCACGCGGCGGCCCAGGATGCACGGCTGGAGCTAGAATGCAGACTTATCAGGATACGAGCGGGGACGCCACAGTCAAGCGATGGGGCCTGCCATTCGCCATGCTACGAGTGGGCGACAAACGCACTCCCAGTCCCACGAGGAATTTCATCGGCACCCACGAGCTCGGTCAAGTCAATCCAGGTTACTCGCCGACCGCCCTGCAAGACATGTCGGCAGGGTGGGCCGTGCGTTACGACAGGGACTTCATCACCACATAATGAGTGTTGAATGTCTGAACAGCGTTACGGATGAGGGTAAGTTAAGTTCACAGTGTGGTCACAGTGTGGGTCTCACAGCCCAGCCACCCATATTCGTTTTAAAAGCTGCACACACGTACACGGATGGAGGGCGGGTGGCTTTCGAAATGTGTCTCTCGCTGTAGCGTCGCAGACACTCGTTTTGAGTGGTGGCGGCTCTGGCTTGAAACTTCGTCTTCAATTGCAAGAAATATGAATCTCATGAAAGAAATACACGGGTGGAAGGTTGTCCTAAAAAACAAAGATCTCAGTGGACAGTTCCCTGAACGCTATGTTTCTACCCCGCGGCGCTTCAAAAAAAGGACGTTCGCCTGAGCGGCAGGCCCGGAGGGCGGGGGGCCAAACCAGAAATGGTATATGATAGCATGTACGATGGTACACAAGAGTACGCAATGGTGACGCTACCGTAACATGTCGTGATATGATATGCGATGACGTAGAGTACTGCGCCATGCAAGTGCATGCCATGCTATACGCCATGGTATGGTATGCTGTGAGTTGCTACGCTATTATACGCTCCGTCTGGCACGTAGTGGAGTGTCCTCGGGTCCTTGGCACATAGTTCTAGTATTGAGTACTCGGGGGAGTTGAACATGTTCCTGCGCAGCGATCCCAGGTCGAGAGCATGCCTCTCGATTCCCAGTACCGTCGATTTGGCGTGAAGAGCGACCGAGACTGCCCGAGATGCCCTCAAGATCAACCCCCGAGGCTTCCATGAGAGACCAAAGAGACCTCCAAGGCTGTCCCAAGAGCGCCAATGGATGGGACTCGAAAGGACCCCAGAAGCCCTCCCATGCCCCAATCCAAGATCACCCCAAGGCCCTAAATTGACAGGCTCCCAGAGAGACCCCCCAGAGGCTCCCCAGAGGCACCCAGGAGGCCCCCCATAGGACCCCCAAGAGGCTCCCGAGAGGCCCTGCTCCCAAGAGGCCCCCTATGAGTCCAGAGGCTCGCATCCTGCGTTGTAACCTGCAATGCTACCCCTGCGCTTCGGCGGACCTGCAACCTTGTGCCCACAGCCCGGGCAAGGAGGCGGGAGTGGCCGAGGGCCACGAGATCACGGGCGCGCCGGATTGCTCAGGCTCTGGTGCGAGAGTTGCGCCCTTGCGCTCCTTAGGAAGGGCCTCCTTCTCCTCCTCCTCCGCCTCTTCTTCTTACCATTACTATGATTATTATTATTATTATACTATTATTACTAGTATGTATTATTATTCGCATTGTTAATGTTACTCGCATTCGTGTATAACTATTATTCTTATGAAAATTATTCGTACTAGTATTATTATTCCCATTAATGTAGCTATGAATGTTAGTATAATGATTCGTCACAATATAATTATAGGTTCCGTATTATTATTGGTACACCTTAAGGTTTTATTGTTAGTGTGAGTGTTCGTGCTTTTCTTTGTATGATGCTCATTCGTACGATTCACATTATTATTCGTACTACTGCTATTATTATGATTCATTGGCACTCTTATTATTACTAGTAGTATTGATAGTATGTTTAGTTTTCTGACTGGTATTAGGAGTATGCTGTATACGCTTAGTACTACTGCTCTTAGTAGTATTATGATTATCCGTAGTCGTCTTACTATTCGTAGTATTAATAGAACCAGCATTAGTAGTAGTCTTACGAATCCGAATAGTAATATTAAGATAGAAGTCTTCGCGCTCGCATGTGCATAGCCTTAGTATTATTGATAGAAGCTTTCGTCTGAGTAGTAGTAGCATTCGTATTATTATGGTATTCCTTCTCTGATGATTATTATTAGTATTAATATGAATATTCGCATCAGCATTACTCTTAGCATTATGACTATTATTAGTACTCCTCCTCCTTCTTCTCCGCCTCCTTCTCATCCTCCTCCTCTGCAGAGCTGCCAAGGGGGCGGCGCAAGGGAGAGGATGCCAGGGGGCCGCACGATGGCGGAATCCATGCTCGGGGCGGGGTGGTGGGGCGGGAGAGGCAGAGGCAGGGAAGCGAGGGGGCCAGGGCGGGGACGCAGGGAGGATGGAGATGGTCGTTATCCTCCTCCTCCTCCTCCTCCTCCTCCCGCTCCTCCTCCTCCTCCTCCTCCTCCTCCTCCTCCTCCTCCTCCTCCTCCTCCTCCTCCTCCTCCTCCTCCTCCTCCTCCTCCTCTCCTCCTACCCCTCCTCCTCCTCCTCCTCCTCCTCCTCCTCCTCCTCCTCCTCCTCCTCCTCCTCCTCCTCCTCCTCCTCCTCCTCCTCCTCCTCCTCCTCCTCCTCCTCCTCTGCCGAGCTGCCGAGGGGGCGTCTGGGACAAGATGCCAGGGGGCCGCACGGTGGCGGAGGCCGTGCTCGGGGCGGTGTGGGAGGGCGTGGGAGGCAGAGGCAGGGAAGCAAGGGTGCCAGGGCGGGGACGCAGGGAGGATGAAGATGGTCGTTATTCTCCTCCTCTCCTCCTCCTCCTCCTCCTCCTCCTCCTCCTCCTCCTCCCCTCCTCTCCTCCTCCTCCTCCTCCTCCTCCTCCTCCTCCTCCTCTCCTCCTACTCCTCCTCCTCCTCCTCCTCCTCCTCCTCCTCCTCCTCCTCCTCCTCCTCCTCCTCCTCCTCCTCCTCCTCCTCCTCCTCCTCTGAGCTCCGTAGCCATTTTGTGCTCAAGGCATGCTTTGTTGAAGATGGTCGTTATTATCCTCCTCCTCCTCCTCCTCCTCCTCCTCCTCCTCCTCCTCCTCCTCCTCCGCCCGTAGCCATTTTGGCTCAAGATGCTTTGTTCCACAGGGGAACAAGTGGATACCGCTAGTCCGCGGCTAGTGCCAGGGCCTTTGTGCCCGACAGCTTTGTTCATCTCTCCGTGTGCCTCCTGCAGCCCGCAGGTGAGCTTCCTCTCGTCCAGTCTGGCAGCATGGGGAAGCAGGTGGCGGTGCGTGGTTATGTGTCTTGTCCTCATGAAAGTTGTCACTACAAGTGGAACTGGAAGAGGCACACGACCTGCTGGCAGTGCGAAGGCCTTCTGCGTCCTGTCGGGGGCCAACCACCACCTCGTGATGCAGGGTCGTGGAACCGTGGTCCTCCCACACTACCTGGCGCAGCTCAACCAGGACACCCACCAAGCCCTTTCGTGCGGCCGCCCCCAGGACAGTGGGCTCTTACAGGGGCGGCAACTACGGCGGCAACCCTCGGTGACGGCAGTACCAACCCTTTCGCCCCCTCGACCGACCAGCTGTTCGAGGCTCTGCTGCGCCGCGCCCCACAGCACGGCGATCGCCTGGCGGCACTCAAGAAGGAGTTCGAGAGCCCCACCGCCAGCGGCCGCCGCCCCAGTCAAGCCCAGCCTTGAGCGTGAGAGAGAGGCTCAGCGGCTGGCAGTGGCTGCTCGCAAGGCCGACGAATCTCTTGCGAAGGCGATCGCTCACGAGCAGGAGTGCATCGACTGGCTGGCACGGGCTCGGGCGACTGTGGAGCAGGCGGCACAAGATGCAGCCGACGCCAGGCTGGCACATGAGCAGCAGCTGGAACAAGACCTCCAGCGCCTCAAGAATCGACAAGGAGCTGCACGTACTGCCGCCGACCCCAAGCCCAAGCTCAACCTGTCCAGCTTCCTCGACGAGAGCTACGAGCTTGGGCAGCTGTTCGAGTTCGAGGACGGCGAGGCCTTCGACTTCGAGGACCTGGATCTGGCCAAGGAAGACATCGTGGCTTGGCAGAAGCACAAGATCTCTTTGGCACAGGAGATCAAGCAGGCAATCAGTGCAGCGATTGGCCCAGCAGCTGCGTCACTGGGGGCTCGCAGACAACAGTTCAAGGAGTTCAAGGCTCGCATGGCTTCCAAGCGTCGACGTGTGGGAGCTGACGAGGCAGCTGCTGAAGGCGAAGATCGTGGTGATGGGCAACCTGCAGGTGGAGACCAGTCTGCTGCCCCTGCCGCAGACGAAGGCCAGGCAGCACCCGCTGCTGGGCATCGCGCCGCGGCTTCGGCAGCAGCCTCTGCCGCCCCTGCTGCAGCGACGCCACCTTCGCAGCCCCAGGAGGCAGCGGCAAGCGAGGCGCCCCCTAAGGCGAAGGCGTCCCAGGAGCGAGTGCAGCAGGTCCTGGCAGGGGCCAGGGGCAACTCGCCCTCGTCGGCGACCTACGCTGATGCTGCCGTGGCTCCACAAAAGTGCGGGTAGCACGATTCGACTGTACCCGAAGCCGAGACGATCTCAGAATGCTACACTAGAAGTTCGACGATTGTTACTGCACAATCTTTCTATGTGGGGGCACAAAGCCACCAAGCTTTTTGCAGAGAGTGATGTTGACATCATCATCATGCCTGAGACCCACGTGCTGGCGTGCGACACCCAGGATATTCTGAGCACGCTGAAGCAGCACAAATGGCAAGGTATTGTTTCTCCAGCATACCCCACGACCTACGTGAAGAAGGCAGGTGGCATTGTACTGGGTATCCGTCAGCACCATTGTTGGTCTTCTTTTCGCCACTTGTCAGACGACCCTGACAATGCGATTGGCCTAGTTGACGCCAGCAACAAGCAAAAGTTATCAGGGCCCCTGTCCTTCAAGGATGTGGTGGCGATCGAGTGGAAGATCGCCAGAGTCCCATTACTTGTGATTGGAGCCTATTTGACTGTCTCAGTGGGGTTGGAAGCACCTATCAATGTTTCAAAGCTTCTCACTATTTCGGCGCTGTTGGATAACCATGCGGGACCTTGGATCGTCATGGGTGACTTCAACGCTACCCCCCTGGAGATGGTCACATGGATTCGCAAATGGAATGGACATTTTTACCACCCACCAGGCATCACGCACACTTCCACGAGAGGCAAAGGGCAGCGCATCATCGACTATGCTGTGGCTTCTCAGGACTTCTCTGCACTTTTTCATGATGCGATCCAGTTAGATGCTCAGGGTGGTGACCATTATGGCATGATTTTGGAGCTGAATGTTTCGGCACAACAGTCTGCACGTCGAGTCTTGGACCTACCGAGGATGTTCTTGCCACCGCTGCCCACCAAGTTGCAGAGCGACCCCAACAGCAAACGTTCGAGGAAGAAATTAGAGCTGGATCGGAGACGGCAACAGCGTGCTTCGGAGTACTCGGAGGATCTCGAACAAGAGCCTGAACCCGAGTATGAAGACGAGGAGTCCTTGGCACAACCTCAGCAGGCAAGCTCGTGCACGAAATACCCAGAGGAGGCTCGCAAGTTTCTACATCGAGATTTTTTCGATTTCGACTCCGAGGCACTTCAGCAGATGTGGCAGTCACATATTTTTGACCACAAGACGTCCGAGGTCAAGCCAGTAGTGCAGGATTGCCACCCAGCCAAGTATTTAGAATGGAGGGTTGAAGATCTGGATAGGCTTTGGACCACCATTGACGACAACACTCTCCAGCATTGTGAGTGGACCCTACCGCCAGATTGGATACAAGACAGCCTCTCGTACAAGTATGATCCCGAGACCGCTATTGAGCTGGGATCAGACTACGGAAGATTTACGTCAGTCTTCGAGAATTTCCTGTGTCGTGTACTTGAGGTACCTTCTGATCGAGCTTGGCACTATAAAGGTCGAGGAGTTGCAAGAGAATTCAAAACTTTGCCGATTGCAGCACCCGCGCCAACAAGAGCGCATTCAGATATGTCAATCAAGTGGTGGTTACAAGTTTCTGGTTGGATTCAGGAGCTTATTCGAGTCTCTGCTAATGGGACCCAGCAGCACTTCGAGGAGTTCTCTACTGCATCAGGTGGCAACTCCTCTCCTCCTCCCCCCGTTTTGCTCAGCCCAGTCTCGAAAAAAACAAGTCAGGACAGCATCGAGAAAAGATTTCTTGGTGCACAGATTGGCTCAGGCTCCCGCTGACATGCCTCTTTCAGGTTTCGGCCAGGTAATAGGCAGAGATCGGCAGGACTGGGCCAGTACGCTACTCAACATTCACAATCTACCGAGAGAAGCTCTCATCACGATGGGAGCATCAGCAGATAAGATCGCAGCAGCCCTGGAGCGCAAGGCAGCCAAGGAGAGCTACAACGTTTTTCAGATCTGGATTCGTGATTCTTTTGCTCAAGGCTGTGGGAAGCTACATGGGTACGTCAAGCCCAAGACGCGTGTGGAGACAGAGTACCGCGACCTGAAAGGAAGTTCCACGAGCCTCAAGGATATTTTGGTCCAGAAGAGTCAGCTTTGGCAACGCAAATGGTCTTCCAAATTTCTGTCAGTACAAAGGCTGCATCAATTTCTTCGTCGGGCTCACGCCAAGGCAGCAGCACAACCTTGGCCAGCTCTCGAGCCCGAGCAGGTCGCCATCACAGTCAAGCAGATCAACTCCAGCAAGGCGGCAGGCATCGAGCAACTGGGCGGTACTCTTAAATATTTACCTCCAGCTGGCATTATTCACCTGACTGGGTTTTTGAATGAATGCGAACGACGAGGAGGCTGGCCCTGGCAGATTCAGATTGCTATTGTTGCACTTCTGAGGAAAGGCGCTGACACTGATCGTTCAATTGGTCTCATCCCAGATTTGATACGCTTGTGGAGTTCAGCCAGACAGATTTTTCCTTCTAAATGGGTCGAGCAGATGGCTGGCAAGTGGGACAATGCGATCAGAGGATCTTCCTGCTTGCGTGTCGGACTTTTACGAGCCTTTTCCGACGAAGCCATCCGGATGGGGCCCAAGCACACCGTCTCGGCTAGTCTTTTGTGGGACATCGACAGTTTCTACGACTCGCTAGAATACGAGCGCCTGTTCGAGCAGGGCTTGGCCCTGGATTTTCCGCCTTTGATGTTGCTGATGGAAGGGCTGGCTCATCTTTTAGTTAGAGTTTTTCGTGAAGCAGGATGTTTTTCACCACCAGTCCAGGCCAACAAGTCCATCATCGCAGGAGCTCGTAGAGGGGTCGATTTTGGAAGATTCTATCTATACAGTATCCTTGAAGCAATATACAACAAATACTCACCGTCGGTCAGCACGTCGTCTTGGGTTGATGATATCACGCAGTACGCATGTGGGTCCGTCAGGTTCCTCTCCCAGGCGCTCACCAAGGCTGGGGCTCTCTTGGGTAGGCTCTGCAACAAGGCGCACTTGAGCATCGCCAGCAAGAGCAAGATCATCGCGGGGGACCTTGATTTAGCAAAGGACATTGCGCGCAAGCTGGCACAGCACAACATCAAGATCACTGTAGCGCACAAAGCAGTAGATCTAGGCACGGACAGAGGCACAAACATGCGAGCACGACCTAAAGCAGCAGCACGTCGCAAAGCAGCGTGGAAGCAAACAGTCCGAGCTCGGAAACTTATTGGAGCAGGCAGAACAGGCAGAGCAGCAGCACGACGAGTGATACATCGAGGATGTTACGCAAAAGTTCAGTATGATGCAGCTGTGTACGGTATGTCCCCTTCGGCAGTGCAGGCTTGGCGCAGAGCTATAGGAGGCACTTTCACTCTGTCAGTCCGCGGCAGGTGCCTTGACACTCTTTTACAGCTGGAGCTTGGAGATCAAGATCCAGCAATCTCGCAGGTATTTAAGATGCTCGACAGCTGGATGGCCATTCTTGCCTCAGGAGCTGAAGCTCGAGCTTTTGCAGCACGCGATTGGTCTCAGCACGTGGCTAAGGCTAGAGAGATTCCTAAACATCGATGGCGCAGAATCACAGGCCCCACCAGAGCTGTAGTAAATACCCTTTTGGACATCAACTGGGACCCCATCGGGCCATGGCATTGGGTTTCTGATCTTGGGAACGTCTATCAGGCTACTCCAGAGGTCCTTGAAGCTGGTCCGCTAGATCTAGATGACATCCGCCAAGACCTAGCCGATTCAGTTCGTCGGGTTCTTTGGATGCGAGCAGCTAAACATTACGAAAGCGCTGATGTTGCTAACGGAGTAGACCTAACTGATGTACGACAGCAGTTACGACGAGCTAGAGATAAAGATCAGCTTAAGTGGGCAGGAGCTTTAGTCAACGTCTGCTGTGGTGGTCAGTGGGCCAGAGAGAGAATTCAAAGCATCATCAACCCGCCCGACTTTTCTGTTATTTGTGACCGCTGTGATGGTGGACGACCAGAGTCTACTTTCCACCGAATTTGGGGATGTTCCGCGAACGACGCCCTGCCCTCGACCACCAGCATCGAGGCTTTTGTGCATCGTGCTCGCACCCAGGTGGATTCACAGCCGTCAGTGTGGCTACGAGGCCCCACTCCGTCGTCGTGGACACAAGTTTCGCAGCCGCCCGACGAGGCGGACATTTTTGTGCACAGCCACGGCGTCTTCCCCGACGGCACAGACCTGATCGTCGGCGCAGGTGATGCCTCAGGGGGTGAATATTCAGACCAGGCCAGATTCAGGAGAGTGTCTTGGGCATATGTTGTCTTCGAGGAGTTCGACCTAGCGAACCCAGCTCCCTCCCTGGCCTTGGCAAGGGTGTCCTCGGGAGCCACTTGGGGACCCCAGACAATCAATCACGGCGAGATGATAGCGCTCTTGAGGTTCCTGGAGGAGGCCCCTGTGGGCCGACCACTCGTCTTCGTCACGGACTCGTCATATGTCCAGAAAAACGTCAGTAAGGTCCTCTTGGATTTCTTTCCTACTGGATTTAGGAACGAGTGGCGTCGAATTCAGCGGCTTCTTCAAGAGAAGCCGACCAGCATCATCAAGATCGAGTCGCACATGACTCCAGATCAGGCTGCGGAGAAAAAGGAGCTCGTCTTTGCGTGGGTTGGCAACAAGGCAGCTGATGAACTGGCTGACCACACGGCCAAGAATATCCAGTTGCAGGCGGGGGAGGTGGAGGCGGTC